ACATTAAAATACTCTAAAAAGATAAATTTCAAAACCTAATTTTGACATTACACCGTCGTTTTATTCAAAATAATTCACATATCCTTCATGTTTTCATTAATTAAATAAAAGTTTAATAATAGAATTTTAATTTGTTATTTTCATAAAATATTGTATGTATAGAATATTTATTAAAATAAAAATAATATTTATGTAAAATATATAGGCGAAATATTAAAAAAAAACAAGAAACTCAAAACGGTACACAAAACTCACAGTATGGCATTGACTACTTTGGTACAAAATGTCAATTATTACATGAACATTCCACCTGCTATATTTGTAGATCTACTTCAGAAACAGTGTGGTTTACATCCTAATTTTCACCGTCGCTCGTACTGGGACGGGTGTCGATGTATACTTCCGGTGAGATGTCGATTCCGTCGACTATCCTTCCCCTGTACTATGCAGAAAAAGAATGGATTATTCTACATGATGTTTCATTGACAAGAGTATATGATGGAACCAATGGGAAAAAAACATTTTACCTCTCAAGGACAACTTTTCCTTCTTTGTACTTTTGACCCTTCTCGTGTGCCGCCTCCTGCCCGTCAAAGATCGAACAATCATGCGAAAGCAAAAGCAAAGTTCGGGAAAGTTAGTGAGACTCGGTAATGATTAGTGTCTCGGGTACTAGATTTGAAATCGATATCGAATTGTTCAGGAAATTACATATTTCCAGCCAACAATTTGCCCACAACAGCAGCAAAATACATCTGCCACAGTATGCATTCCGGATAGCATCAGCCTCTCTTCTAAGGCTCCAACTGTTATGTTCACCCTGGAACATGAAATTCTAAACAATAAGCAACTAAAAGCTTCGATGTCACTTACGAGACTTTCGAAGTTTCACGGCTTTTGTAAAGATCATGGGGGAGTAATATGAAATTTTAAAGCAGCTTTAGGTGGTTGAATAACAACTATAAGATCAGCATGACAGAATAAAATGGCAAAAGAAATTAGTCAACCAATCATTGAAAAACTTCAAGATCTTACACATTATTGAAGAGGTAAGCATTCCCCCGGCGACAATGGAAAGACTGAGGAATAGAGAAAATCGAAACAAGTCATTAGCACTTAGCAATCTAACATGGGGTTCAACTGTGTATGTTGTTTAATATCAGAATTTTAAGAGGAAAAAATATTCAGAACCGAGGCATGCATTGAGAGGAACCTAAGTGCACATTCAACTATACATCAACAATCTCCACCCCTGCATACACAGAGCTCAAATACAGAACAGAAATATGCACATGAGAGAGACAGCCGACACTTGAGGATTGAATACATCCTAATAGCTAGAATGGAGTCGATGGAAAATGTTGAAATCATATCTGTATACATCCTAATATCAAAAGTTAGTTTCTTGCAATATTATCTGTAATTTGTGTGTATGTAACCATGTATGTATGTTCTGATTGAGCTCTATGGTATATATTACAGCCGGCTTCGGGGGCATTCAAACATAGAACGATAATCAGCAATATATGCAAAGGGTGAAGAAACATAGAGAAACGAGTTTCTACACAGATCTTAACATTCTATACAGCATAAAGCAATGCTTACAAATCATAAACAATATCCTGAGAATCCAAAGCATCTTTAGTAGGCAGGTCAAAACACTTCAGTTCACACTGTGCAGCCAATGCATTGAAGAATCAAATTAAAGCCATACAAAGAAGACACGAGCGTAACCGATACATCAAATAGCAGCTAACAGGGAAACCAAATAAATCATTAGATATGGAAATCTTGAGAATACATCAAGACCCTTAGGTGAGGCATAAATGATTAAATCAATTCATGAAAATTCCCCATCTTAAAAGAAGATAAAGCCTTTAGGTAAGGTATTTTTGGTGTAACTCTTGTTATTCAGTTTATTCTCAAGAGTTCCACACTTCATTCAAAATCAGCCCTCCAAAGAATCATAAATTTTACTGAAATTTTAAATCCCACCCCCAAATTCTCCAAAATAATAAATTTTGAGGTTCTCCTATTTAATCTTCCCTTCAATGCCAACTACATTTGAACAACAAAATTACACAAAACCAGTAGTGCTGTTATTCATCATGTTCCTAGTGCTATGTTCTTAAACACAAGAGGACCCACACATCAAAAGTTCTAAACTTTAAGACTTCTTCCATCAATAACAGCTAGAAGAACCAACTTTTACAATCAAAAGAAGAATGATTAGATGACAAGTACAAAGCAAATGGGTGAGAAATGAAAAACCCAGAAAGACAAGGAGATCAAGGGAAGAAAATAAGAAGTGGGTACCATGGAAACAAGATCATCAGGGAGAGCTAAGTGAGTTCTACAAAACTTGCATCTATAAGACCTTCCATCAAGCTCAACAGCAAATATCCTTCCCATTTTCCCTTTATATATATATATATGTTTTGTACTTTCTGTTCTTTACACTGCCACGGCAGAACCTGTCTTTAGCTTCTAAGGTTGGGAAAATAAAATAAAGTTGAGGTTGAAGAGGTGGGGAGATGATAAGATGATGGAGATGGTGATGGTGATTGTGGGAGTTATGGGGTAAAGCCCATTAATCAAGTTTCAAGCTTTGGTTTAGTTTAATTGGGCTACTGTTATGAAGTTCAATTATGGATCCATGACCAATTATCATATGGTGTTTACTTACACAAATTCAAAGAACACTTCTTGTAACACTGAAATTTAGGTTATTGATCTCTCAATTATCTTCAAGTTAGTATTTCTACTTTTCAATCCATATAATTTAATTTATTGTAATTTTATTTTATAAAGTCATTAACTAATCTAAATAATCATTACATTTAATTGTTTTTGTTAAAATAGTAACATGATTTATACAAATATATATACAATAGAGAGGTGTAAATGAATTGAGCATGATGAAATAGAGTTGTGTTTATGTTTGTTTTTTATTTCCGAAGGTGTTTAGGTTTGCTTTTTTTGTTTATTTTTAATGTATTTGCATTTGTTTATTTAACATTCGTAAATATGCTCGTTTCATATCCGTGAACATGTTCGTTTAACATTCGCGAACATGTTCGTCAACCAATATTCTTTTTCTATTGTTTTATTTGAAAGTCAAAGAAAAATAATAAAGTTACGCTACTGGTTGTTAAGTCCCCTAAGCTTCGCAGATTAAACTCTATAACTCACCTTATGTTCAATTTAATCTCTACTTTTATCAATATTTAAATGTAAAAAATAAAATAAAAATGAGAAACAAGTAAATGAACTTGTAAACAAGTCGATAAACGAGTCGATAAACGAGCTTATAAACAAACCAATAATTGAGCTTGTTCGTGAACATAAACGAACTAATAATTGAGCTTGTTTGTGAACTTAAACGATCCGAACACATACTTGTTCATATTTATTCATTTATTAAATGAAAAATAAAAAATAAACTTATTTAACTTAAAAAATCAACATAAAAATTATTATACAAACTATATACAAATAATTCACCGAACACTATATTCATTTACACATCTATATATATATAAGTTGTTCGCATAAAAAAATCATATGATGAGGGTAAACTTGGCAAACAATGACCGGTTAAAGGTGGTCAATTTCAAATATAAATAGTGGGAAATTAATTAAATCACTCAATATTTAGCGTAAGCAGATAAAGAAGAAGAAGAAAAATGACTTTGTTCGCTGGTTCAAGACGACACGAATTATGGGTCCCACTGTTAAATCGGCCGCCGCGGGCCACCACTTTGAAGTCTGTATCACGTGTGGACGATAAACCCAACCCTTTGATCTATGGCTGTCAACTGGACCAGGTTTATTGGACGGTTATGATCATGTAAATCACGAGATGGTTTTTATTATTATCATTATTACTATTATTATTATTATTAGGAGCAGCTGGTTCCTTTTTATATTAGGTAAAAACATATACGAGGTTTATGTATTTTTTTTATAAAAAATTAATATATTTCATATTATTTTTATAATATTATCTTTCGATTTAGAAAATAAATTTAATATAATCATTTAACTAATATTTTTTATTGTTAATCTTTATAATACTAATACGGTAGTTAATGATACTAATGTAACAATCTACAGTCCTGACGTGACAATATTTAATCATTCTTCATGTTATTAATCATTGTAGACTGTTACGTCAATACTGTACCATAAATTGTTACACCAACACTATAACGATCGTTGACAAAAAATATTAATCAAAATATCACATTAAATTTATTTTATAAATTAAACGATTATATTAAAAACTGTCGTCTATCGATCGTCTTAACTGCCGTCGAATTAATTGCCGTACGATAGGGGTCCCACTGGTGGCGTCGCCAAACAGATCGGTCGTCTTAACTGCCGTCGAATCAATTGCTGACGCGTTGTCTTGGTAGCCTGGACAGCAAAATGGCAATAATATAGCATAAGGTCAAATTATATCATTAGATCTTTTATTGTACTCATTTAGAAATTTAATATTTATATTTTAATTTAATTAGATTTAATATTTTTATAAAATGATAATTTTATTAATCTAATAAAATGAAAAAAAATTAATAAAGTGATAATTTTATTAAATAAGAAGCATAAATAAAGGGTGATAGTGTATCCCAAAAATTAAGATTAGAACAAGTGAAACGCTTATCCCTCAAAATAATAAAAACACACATGAGATGAATCGTGAAATAAATATTTGAAGAAAAAATTACATTTTTTTTTTATTTTTCAAATTTTGCAATATAAAATAATAAGACATAAATAAGAGAATAAACATAATCAAATATAAAAAATATATATCTACAATTTATGTATAGAAATTTTAATTTTCAAAATTATAGTTTAATTGCAAAATTTAACTATTTTAATTTCAAATTTTGAAATTAAAATCAAAGAATTGTGTAAATGCTGTAAAATATGAAAATTACTCAAACGAAATAGTCCATTCAATATATCTTAGGATAATTCTTAAAATATAATTAAGTAGAAACAACATGGAGAAAACTTCATCATGTTGCCAAAAATACATCTCTAGAATTTATCTTCCTTGTATATACGTTACATGTCAGCTTTTACCATTAGAGAAAAAGAAGGAAAGCCAAAACGCAGAGAGACGAAGTTAAAAACGACGTCCGATGAAATCAAACAGAAAGATCAAAACATTTCAGCAGGCAACTGGTTAAGATCAAGATCAAACACTCTCGGTCGCAGCCCTTGTTCAAAATCAACAACCGTCGACGACGAATCGGAGTCGCTCTGGGCGGCACCGGCAGCGGAGGTGATCTTACCGGCAGAAGTAGAGTCATCGAAGAAAAACACCGGATTATTCTTCGTCAAGGGAGGCGAATGAGATCCGCCGACGAGTGTGAGGTCCAACGGTGGCGGAGAAGAGGACTCAACGATGCTGCTCTGACTGGGGCTTCGGGTGAGGTCGGTATCGTTAACGGTACTATAGATGAAATTCGTCTTGGCCTTGGCGCCACGGTATTCCAGTGCCGCCGCGTCGTAAGCACGCGCAGCCTCCTCGGCAGTGTCGAATGTACCGAGCCAGACTCGGGCCTTTTTCCTCGGGTCACGGATCTCAGCCGCGTAACGGCCCCATGGACGCTTTCTCACACCGCGGTAACGGATCTCGTTGGTAGTCGTGTCGGGATTCGGGTTAACAGGTTTCAATTTTGGAGCCATGCTCTCTCTCTCCCCCCCTGCAGTAATTAAGGAAAGTGGATTGGTTAAAGGAAAGCGGAATAGAGCACGGGGTTATATAGTGGAAGGAAAGCTGAAACGCACCGTTTCGGAACTTGTGTGGGAGTTGAACCACTTAGGTTCAATCTCGGTAATCATTTTGCGCCATGTGTCTCAAATTTGTAAACATTTGTTGAATCTATCATTTTATTAAAATCATTGTTATATAATTATTTATATTCAATCTATTATTTAATTGATTTATATCAATTATAATTATTTGATTTATAATGTCAAAATTTAAACACTCAACATTATTTAAAAAAAACTTAACGTTTTATTCATCTATATCAATTAATAATTGATAAAATTAAGTATTTTAAAATATTTCAAATTATAGTTTATTAAGCGTAAAAAATTACACATAATGTTTAATTAATAATCACTTTTTTATTTTTCAAAAATTTTTGAATCCTAATATTTTAATTTAATACAAAAAGATTATTATTATTTTAATAAAAAAATATTATTTTAGAGGATTGACGGTTGACTAACAATTTTTATCCAAGAATATATCTTTTTATTCCAAAATGGATCGTTAGAGAAAAAATATTTTAAAAGGAAAAATAAAATAAAAAATAACTATTTAATAAAATATTTAAAATAATTTTTATATTAAACTATTTTTTTATAAATATGAATTAAATATAAAATAATATATATTCAAAAATAACTCTTAATTATTTAGTATTAAATGCTCACATCCCTAATATTCATTATGATTGAACTCATAATCTTAAAGAATATAATAATTATTTTATCACCGAGGTCGCTTAGATATTATTCCCGTTTACAGGTTAACCTTAATGGGGTGTTATTATATGGATGTTATTCTAATATATGTATTAAAATAATTCATTAAATCCATCTTATTAAAATAAATTAAATGGGCTTTTCCAATACCGCGTCTCTCGTTTTAAACAATACTATGATAAAATGATGGACCCACACGCCGCTGAGAATCACACGTTGCACATGTGAAAAGTTAGATCTCGTTCCCATAGCTAATTGTTTGTTAATGTACAATCGCTCGCACTGGATTCTACTCACTTTAGCCGGCGCAGTCTTTGACTTAACACTATGTTAGGGTGTCGCGTAATAATTTTAATATATAAATAAATTATGTTACTAAAACAAAGATTACATCCACACTAAACATTGATATTTAAATTAGGCGATTTCCCAAAAAAAAAATCATAAAAAGCTTTTATTCCCCGTCAAACATCGTTCATACTTTTTTTTATCTAACACCTTTTGTAAGAAGACGCGATCCCTACACAGCGTCTTATGCCACGAGAGGTATGACGCGCTCCTATAACGCGTCTTGTAAACGTGTAAAAAATTCGGGTATTATTTTTGTAAATTTTTTAAAATGGTGCTTAATATATAATTAATTTATGTTAGGGTGATATTTGTGTAAAAATGCCCACTTTATCTATTTATTTTTTTATATGATATTATTTTTAACAACAATTAATAATGTTTATTGACTTATAAAATTAATTGTTTAAAAATATAAAATATTAAAATAAATTTTTAATTACAATTGAGAAATCAAATGAATTATTATTTATTTTTTTAAAAATAAATAAAAATGCAATAAAAAAGAATTAAAAGTGAATAAAATTCAATAAAAATAGAATGTAAAGCTAAAAATATCACCTTTTTATTTATAATATTCTTTCTGATATTAATTTTAAAAAATATAAAATAAATATTAAAATTTAATTTTATTAAAAATAAATAATCATTATTAACTGTTGTTAAAAAAATAATTAATAAATAATAATTCATTTCATCCCTCAATTGTAATTAAAAATTTATTTTAATATTTTTTATATTTTTAAACAATTAATTTTAAAATATTTTATTCTCAAGACCTAAAGTAAAGTTTATGATTGTTAAACAGTCGTAGGTGTGGAAAACTACAGAATCGAATGAAAATTCGATCATACAAAGTCAATAACTCAAAATTATCTAACTGTTGTCTAAATATCAACTCAATTGTACCACGAATAAACATCCGATCAAAGAGTTGATCTTTTTTGCTCAATCTTCACAAAAACTGTTTTGTCTCATCATTTTCTCTCGCTTATGAGCTCCTTTCTTTTTCAATTCTTTTCTGTTGAATTTAATTGCCAATGTGCACACAGAAAAATCAAAAGTAGAGTGACTTTTATTGCAAAAGTCAATTGTAATTAAAAGTTTATTTTAATATTTTTATAATTTTAAACAATTAATTTTAAAAGTCGCGGTGTAGGGGCCGCGCCTTCCTGCCAAAGGTGTTAGATCGAGAAATAAAATCTTAACAGTGCCTGAATTTTTTCAAAAATATATGAAGTTTATAAATTTTTAAATTATAAAATATTTATCATCATCATCATTTTGTAAAAGAAATATTAATTATAAAACTTTTATAAAATTATTCATATTTTAAAATACTTACCCTCAAAGTTTTCCTATACTAGATTATACGAATTGTGTAATTTCGTGCAAAAATAAAAATTTTCCAAAAGTTTTTTTTCACACATAAAAATAAATAAATAAAATTGACGTTTTTACACAAATATTACTCTAATAGAAATTAATTACATATTAGGTACTATGTTAAAAATATTTACAAAACTAGCACCCAGCTTTTTTACACATTTCACTGTAGGGGCGCGCCTTACCTCACGTGACCCCATATCAACGTAAGTCGCGGTGTAAGGGCCGCACCTTCCTGCCAAGTGTGTTAGATCGGGAAATAAAATCTGAACGGTGCCTGAATTTTTTCAAAAATATATGAAGTTTATAATTTTTCAAATTATAAAATATTTATCATCATCATCATTTTGTAAAAGAAATATTAGTTATAAAACTTTTATAAAATTATTCATATTTTAAAATACTTACCCTCAAAGTTTTCATATACTAGATTATACGTATTGTGTAATTTCATGCAAAAATAAAAATTTGCCAAAAGTTTTTTTTTCACACACAAAAAATAAATAAATAAAATTAACGTTTTTATATAAATATCACTCTAATAGAAATTAATTACATATTAGGTACTATGTTAAAAATATTTACAAAACTAGCACCCAGCTTTTTTATACATTTCACTGTAGGGGCGCGTCTTACCTCACGTGACGTCAGATCAGCGTAAGTCGCGGTGTAGGGGTCACGCCTTCCTGCCAAGGGTGTTAGATCGAAATAAAATCTAAACGGTGCATGACATGAAAATAATGATTATAAGGGTGATTTTTCAGGAATATCACCCATATCCTATAGTTTAATATTTTTTTAAATTTTTTATTGGCTCTTCAATTTTTTTAATAAATTTGAAGTATAATATTTATTTAAAAGTATTTAATTTTTAATAATAAATATTTATATTTATAATATACACGATATTTAAATCTAAAATTTCAAAGAATTATATCAAATTCTATAACTAATCAGTTCGTTGGATTTTTGTAAGATCTATATATCTTAAACATTATAGAAACAATTAATTAATTAGTTAATTAATTATTAAATAAATAAACCAAAGTTGTAGCCGCCCTGCCGCAACAACGAAAAACAAGTGAGCCAAGTGCGATAAGTCTAAAGAATCCACGTGTTGCGTAAACGCAAGGAGTCAATGAAGGGCGGCGATGGCTAACGGGGTTCGGCCGTTGGTTTTGTTAGGTTAGTGTCCAGAATAACGGAAAAGGTCTTGAGTGGTTACGGCGAATATTTATTTAATTTAAGGGTAAATTACGTTCTGAGTACTTCAATGATTAGTTTTAGTCCGTTTTAGTACCTAAACTTTTAATTTGTATAAAATCATGCCTTAAGTTTAGTAATTATTTCATTTTAGTACCTGCCATTAAAACTTTAGTTTTTGTTTCATTTTAGTACATCTGTTCAAAATTTAATGTTAAGTTCTAAAATTGAATGGATCAAAAATGATAATTTAGATACTAAGCGCATTAAATTTTTAAGGGTAGGGTACTAAAATGAAATGAAAACTAAATATTATGTATGATTTTGAAAAATGTTTAGGAACTAAAATGGACCAAAATTGATAGTTTAAGTACTAAATGCATAGTTTACCCTTAATTTAATTGTTTATTTTGGGTAAATTATGTGTTTAGTACCTAAACTATCAATTTTTTTAAATTTAATATTAATTTTTTAACGGATACTAAAATGAAACAAAATCAAAACGTTAGATAGATTTTAAAAAACTGAAAGTTTAGATATTAAAATGAAACAAAATTAATAATTTAGGTACTAAATGCATAGTTTACGCTATTATTTTTGGTCGGTATTGTTAGGGGGGCTGTTTCCCTCTCACTCACCTCATGCCGTGTGGGACGGGATCTCGTACTTTTTTCTTTTTCTTTTTCCTCCTGAAATTCACCTGGGAAGGTGATGTTGCCTTTCGTCGAATCTAACGGCTAAAAAGGTGTTGACGCCTTATAATTGTTGTGTATACCTTGAAAGTTTTTTTTTATATAATTACCAGTATCTAATCTATTAATCGATTAATTAAGATCGAATATTATAGCGGCAAGGTTGATCCTCCCAATTTAATTTGCTCTATTCGCAATCGTCAGGATTCGAATCATTGATCTTACTTAAGTGATCTAATACTTTATCTCACTAAACCAACCGGTTGTTGATTATATCTTGAAAGTTTCTAATAATAACATTTTTAAATTTATTTCGAAGTCGTTTAAACTCTAATCCTTTTCTAGCCATGTTGAAATTTGTTGTATACGTTGTGTATACTCTAATCTGCAATGCTGCTTTACTGTCATTTAAGAGCTTAACTGGCTGCTCTCTCTTTATTCCAAGTTCCTCGAGCAAATCTTTCAACCATACAAATTCTGAGGTTGTTATAGCCATGTTTAGTATTCTGCTTCTGCATAAGATCGAGCAACAATTGGTTGTTTTTTTATTTCCACCAGAATATGGATTCTCTTAACTCCATACAGTGTCCTGTTA